TATATAAAAAAAAAAGACAAATTATAAATTGAAAATTAAATGATTTGAGACTCTTTCCACAACCCATACCCATACTCACAAAAATTATATCCCAACCCAAGGCTACTCGCCGGCAAAACACGTAGTCAAACCTAGCACTTCTTAAATAATTCATAATTAATTCAGACTGAATACAATATGAACAATAGGCATTCAAATCACCCTCAATGCGCCCACACCTGTGCTTTACAGCCTAATAGAGTGTAAGCACTTTAAATAATTTATGCTATCTTCTTATTTGTGTACCTCCCACACTTTACAAAGAGTGTAAAGAAAGGCTTCTGCCAGATAGAAAACTAATATTTAATCACTATTATTCAATTACTATTCAATTTATCTTTATTTTTATTTTTTTTTTTAACTTTTTCAAGTTTATTCAGACAACAGGGGGCTGCCCTGCTTTCACTTGCACTCTATTTATTACTGCTGTTATCCATTTGCAGCTCATTTCGCGTCAACGATCATGGTAAGCATCCTAAACATTTAAATTCAATAACAGCATCGTTATTATACCCCAATGGACAGAGGCACCAGCAGCAACAACAACAACAACGTGGAGAACAACCAGAAAACTTTGTCGACTTCAAAACTCATAAGGATAACTTTGCGCGAGACAAGGCAGAAAACTTATTTAGTTCTAGATTACGTGTCTTCAAAACTTGGCAACGACATTATAAAATTTATATGCACGTTATGCGTGCCATCCAAGATGAAATGTCGCGACTGGAACGACCGGGGCGAACGACGAAAGGCTGGCACGACACAGCTGATGAGCCCGCCGCTCATCAAGGAGAATGTAATTACATTTTCGCCTGATTCATGACAGTTTTGCATAACGGAAAGCCCGCCTCGTGTGCGCAGATATTACGATTATTAATGAGACAGCCACGAACAGCATCAGCATCAGCAACAGCGTCATCAGCCACAAAAGGCTAAGGCGCAGGCCAAGACGATGGCTCAGAGCGTGGAAGACAGCTAACAAGGGTCGCGCTTGACATCAGCATTGGGCCATAATCCGCCGTCAACTAACCACAAAAAGGTAAATACAGATACAAAATACTTGTTAATATATGTATAATATTTCCATATATTATGATTATATTCAAACGTTAGCTATCCCTGTAAATTTCTGTACTCAAGAAAAAAAAATCAGAAATGATTAACAAAAATATATAAGCTTTTATGGTTCGCTTCCTTTTGATATAGAATTTAATAGCTATGTATGTTCCTTTATAATAGGAAGAAGGTCCATATACGAATAGCTATAATTATATAGCTATCGATCTAGATGAATTATAATAAATAAACGATAATGATAATAGAGTTTAATGGGTGCAGTTTATAAGTCAATAAAATTTGTTACTTTGGCACAATGTTTTTCTTTTTTTTTTTTTTTTTAATAAAGTTAAAAAAAAAAAAAAGAAAATCAATTGTGTTATTATTAAATTATACATTTATAAAGGTTTACTATAAAATAAGTTTCTTTTTATTTACAACATGTAAACACTTAAACATCCCAGAGTTTATAGCACTAGATTCCGTGAAATCAAACGAATCTAAGTAACTCATTATGTGACGATTTTTAACAACCGCTCAACTGATAAAAAACATTAGTCAGCCCGCAAAATTGCTCCAGTTATAGAATCTAGCCCTTATCAGCGGAAGCATAAATAAAACCCAGCCGTAGACGGGGCAAGCTGCTTAGTCTCATTCAAATATCTGAGTACGGCTGTGACAAGTCTCGAGGCGGTGCAAGTGCAAGTGCAAGTGAAATCCGAGTACTTCAATTAAATTTGTTATTTTAAGTGCCGCGAAAGAAACACATTTAAGTATTTCAAGCAAAATGGGTTTCGGAGCCGTAAGCTTTATATTTATTTTTATTCATATTTCACAGTTAACTCTTCATGTCTCGTGTGACAAAGTAAGCATATTAACTTCTGGAATATGCGAACACTAAATTGCTAAACAATTCAAAATATATAAATAACATTGAAATTTTAAAATTAAACGAAAGTTGAGTTGAGTTAATTCGTCATTGAAATCTGAAATGGGATTCATTTTTTGTGGGCTGAGTAATGTGGATTTATATATGCATATATTATAAATATATTTATTTACGAGTGAAACAAAGGCTTTTTGTGCGTTCATAAATTTAAATATAAAATTAAAGTCAACTACCTGAAGACTAAAAATTGACATTGTGTCACACAAATTTATACTCAAGCCGGAAAATGAAATTATTGTGTCTTAATTATATATGACTATAGTTACATGTACACAAGGGTATGCGCAGTCTTAGCTGACTTTGTCTTTCCTTGGTAATGTTAATATTTCAAATTGTGTTCAAAATATTGTTTCACATATTGTTTAGAGTTTCTTAATTCATATGCCGATTTATAATAATGAAGTTTAATATAAAATGCTTTAATAAATTTTGTATATTGTTCAATTACTTCATATTGCATATATTTTCAGTCAAAAAATTGCCCATTAATAATAAATAAAAATATAAAAAAATTATATCTTGATATTGTGAACTGCGCCTGACAAACATACTCAAATGACTTTTTTCTCTCAGTGTCACGAGAAATAAGAAAATCCATTCATTGCAGTTCGAACTTGAGGTACTTCAGGCCCATAACCAATATAGGGCCAGGCATGGGGCACCGCCATTGGAGTTGGATGAGAACTTATGCAGAGTTGCCAGCCAATGGGCGCAGGTAAGACATTCGCAATCATACATATACGGATATATCTGACCGATTACCAACATTACAGCATTTGCTAAACACAAACAGCTTTCAGCATCGCCAGAACAATCAATATGGAGAGAATCTGTATATGGCATCGGGTGCCAATCTGAATGGTGCAGCCGCTGTGAAGTCGTGGTACGATGAGATCAAGGACTACAATTTTAGGTCGCCTTCGTTTCAATCAAGCACTGGCCACTTTACCCAAGTGGTTTGGAAGGGATCCAGACTTCTGGGCGCTGGAATTGCTCAAAGGTAAGCATTCAATGAGCACTCTATACAATCAGATTATTTTACTCGTAATTTTACTTTGCAGAGGAAATACAGTTTATATAGTATGCAACTATGATCCACCTGGCAACATTATGAACAACTTCAGGGAGAATGTTTCGCCTCCAAACTGAGATTTCTACAGGGAGAAGTCATTCTCTATTTATAACCTATAGTACATATATAAATATATGTGCATAAACTTTAACATATCTGGTTTCATACCCAGTAAAAGGTCGTATCCCTATATACTTATCGCTTTTTTCCATACTTTGTTTACTCATTACTTTTATCACCCATCCTAATTAAATAAATAATGAATTTAAAAATCATTTTATTTTATATTTTATGCAATTTATTTGAAAAATCACTGTTCATAATCACATTAAACACAATATTATTATTAAGTGCTTTGGGATCATGTTTCCCCAAAATTAAATGAGCTGAAGTAAACAAATAGGTATTTTAAAAAGCTCTCATATAACTTGAGACCGATTCTCGATGACTACAAAAATTTATATATATTTTACTTACACTCTCAGAAAAGATTCAGAGACCGATTCTCGCATCGGTTGCTCAACGAACTCCGAGCGCTTGCGAGCTTTGATTAATAATAAAGAAAATAGTAGGAGTAGTCATAATAGGAGTAGGCATATAAAACGCATTAATGAAGAGATTGCAGAATTTATCAAAAATTCAGGCTAGAGAAAACGCATTTAAATGACTAACAATAAATATATAAGGTAAAGTTTAAGTTAAAATTGAACAAAGTTAAATGAAATTAATACACATAAGAATATCAGTTTTTAAGTGCGTGTGTTTAGGAACAAGTAACTAAATGGAAAGATAATAAAATCTATTTATGTATTATTATATACACGAAACAGGGTATCTCTAGATTGGCGTATGCTATCGATAATTTATATCGACAGTAATTATTGGCTACTCTACATTCATAGTTAAAGTGCTGCCAAATATCAATAACTAAACAGAACTTAAATCTGTGATATTTCACCTCCTTAAAATATACCTAGTTTTACCTAAATTAATTAAACGAATTGAAAGCGGACTGCGACTTTGATTAGTTCAAGTCTGTCACTACTCTTCGATGGTGCAGAGGGTTTGGCGTGGATGCGAACGGGCTGTATACGTATTGCTGCAGATAGAGCCATTGGTTTTGGCCTTTGTGTGGGCCACTTTGAGATCCTTGCCAGTAGCGACAACTGATTTGGAGAGCCGTTGCTTGGGCTGATGGCGCTGCACGTGGACGCCCGTTAGGCGGAGTCGGCGATAGAGAGAGATATATTTGCCAGCCGTTGTCGTTCGGGGCACAATGTACTTCTCACAGAAGCTGGTCTTGGTGCGGGCCGCATCGCTGAGCTGGGCATAGCTCAGTGCCTGCAGGAAGGCCAGCACAAAGGTGTAGCAATTGTGGCTGCTCTCCTCGTACCGGGCTATGGACCAACGCGTTGAATCGCCACAAATCTAACGGGGATGGGGCAGACAGACATCAAGCATCAAGATTTGCATGCAATCCGCATATATGCATGTGCATATATGCGCATGTATATGAAGTGGGAACTCACCTGTTCGAGCACCTCGTCCCAGTAGTAATGCCACGGCTCTGGCACATCCCCCACAAGCAACGATTGCCGCCAGTCGCGGGGATTATCTTCGTGCCGATGCCGCCGCAGTCCATCCCTATCGAATTCGACAATGTCGCCGCCGGATGTGGTCACCGCGATATGCAAATCTGTGGCGTTGCTGTAATCGCTACGGAAACACACGGGCAACACAAAAACGCATCAGACACATTTTGCATATTACACAAGCCAAATACAAAAAAAAAAAAAAAAAAAA